ATGAACATCTAAATTGGTTGATATTAGTTCAGAAAAATTAGTAAACCATGTTATTACTTAGAAAATTTTATATCTTGTTTTTCCTTATGGGAATGGCAAGTGTGTGCTTCAGACAGAACAGGCAAATATTCCTAATCAAAGAAGTTATAAAAAGCAAACCTAAATTAAGTCACAAACTTTGATAATTGGATTGAACGAGATAGTCTACATTTCCTTGTCATGTGGTTAATGTTTTAAATCCTACATTTCTATTAATTATAAATTAAGTTATAAACCATTTAAAATAAAGTTTTTAAAGAAAACAAAACTTAGAGAATCTGGGACTTTTGCCTGTATCTCAAAGCACATGACTCTGTATGTCTATGACACTGCATCAGGAGACTTCCAGGAATCAGGACAAAATGACGATCACCAGGCTTACTACAAAAGAATCCCCCAACACCTGCTCTGCTTGTCTCTTGGTCAAAAATTTGTGTTCTCATATTCAACTTATTCCATTGCTCTACCATGAACCACTAAGGTGAAAAATCACACTTGTACTGATAAGGGGTGTAACTCAGTGGTACAGTACATGCTTGGCATGTGTAAGGCCCTGGATTAATATCTAATGCTGCCCAAAAAAAATAACCTGGGGAAGTCTTTTAAAGCTAGAAAGCAGTTCTTGAACACTTAGCTCCATTTCCAATAGTAGCCATGTCAAGCAAATTATTCAACTTTTCTAAGTCTCATCTCTTCATATATAAAGTGCAAATTGTAGCACCACAGAACTCAGTTGCATAACAATGAAATAAGGCAACCAAAATCTTAACACAGGACATGACACAGTGTGGTCAACAAACATGAATGTGATGGTGGTATCAACAAAAGAATAAAACAAAGCCAAAAAAAAGGGACCACATTCTTTCCACAAGAGTCAAGAAAAAAAATAAGCCTTATCTATGGCTTTGCATATTTTTTTGCATATTTTTTATTTTAAATACTAAATTCAAAGCCTCCTGGCAGAAAATTCCAACATTCCTTTCTAAATTATTACTGGATGTCTCCTCACTTCTTTTAATCAACAAAATGTCAACGTGCTTTTATTCTAGGCCTTAATTGTTCTGTCTGGAATTAATCCAAAA